CCAACTTAGTTAAAGTCATTGTTCATGTCTGTGTTCCATTTCAGTGATTACCCTCCAGCTGGACAATGAATCATATTAAAGGAAGCTTTGTTATAGCTCGACTTATAAAAAATCCAGATGACTTCAGAAGCAGTGATGAGTATTTGGGAAACTATTAGTCTTATTTCAAATTACTGAATTCAACTAAAAAAAAAATGGAGAGCAATTCCATTTATCACAAATTTTAAAAGAAGAAGAAAAAAACAAAGGTACCATTCTTAAAATTCTAAGATTTTCAGCTGAGAAGATGAATGAACATTTATGGGAAAAAACCTGCTATAACAGGTATGTGTGGAATGAGTATCTCTAAGGTCAAGGAGGTTATGCTGGTAAATGGTATACCCTGCCTTACAGAACTGAAAAATGAAATGTTAAGTATAATACTAGAAAGATAACAGGGATGGGACAGACAAATACACAGCAAAACCAATTAGAAGAAATAAAATATCTCAATTGTGAATAAAATAATAATTTCACATACAGTCCTCTAAAATACACCATCAAGTGATTTATTTAGGTCTTGCAAGGAGATATACACTGCAGAGTGTAAAATTATAAAATATACATATTTTTCATCTACAACACCCAAGACAGATGAATGAACACATAAATATGGTAAATAAGTTCTGTTTCAATTTTAAACAAAGATATTACAAAAACCTATTACAATAGAATAAATAAATAAATAAAATTCAATGCTTATGGGTTTGCTTATTTGTGAATATCTTAAAAGATAAGGAATTAATGGTCTGATGTCTTTTCTGAGTATCTGGCCCAAGCTACACATGCATTCATCCAGAATGTTAGTGCAGACAACTTGAAAATATGTCTCTTCCCTCCTATCTTCTTGAACCAGATTAAAATCCCAATCTGTATCAAACATTTCTCTGAGGATGGCTAAGATCAGGTCAGTCTCAGCTCTACAAACTTTTTCCTCCATCATTATAGATAAAAATTACTATTTTGCCTATCACTCAACCTATAATTCTTCATTATCAACCCTCATATCACTCCATACTCTCACATTCAGCTATGCAAAAACAAGCAGAAATATTTTGACATATTTTCAAGATTGTATGTTCATCTTCACAATTAAAAGGTTTGTCTAAGGTCTCATTACCTTGCTTCCTATGCCTTCTTTCCCCAGCACTCCTCTCATTCAAGTCCCATTCACCCAGAATTTCAACCCAATCAGCATTTTCAGCATGAATGAATGGAATGCATGAATGCATTCTTCTTTGGTTTCTCCTTTTATTTGGGCTTTTACTCAATCCACACTCATACTTGAGGTAAACTTTTAAACAGCTCCAAACTTCATTTTCCTTCTTCCTGATCACTCCTTAAAACTTTGTTCTGAGAAATTTCTCCTAAGAAATTTGAGTTAGGCTACTGCCAAGCACACTGCCCAACACAATCCAATTCCCTACACTTCCTGCCCATGACCATGGTTTTACATTTCATTGCAAGCTTTTGAGGGCAAAGACAGCTGTCTTCTCTTTTAGCTGTACACAAGCATTAAACATTTTTCCACTTCAGTTTAGCTTACTAAACTAAACACATATAGCATTTACACTTCCTTTTCAATATTTTGACTTGTTTTAGAGGACTGTGACTGCTATCCTCATTGTAAACAGAGGAGAACAATGTGCAGATAACTAAGATTTTAAGTAAGCAATATTTAAATTATGCTTGAAGGTACACCAGCAACACTGCAGCCTGAATGAAGCAGACACAACATGCAACTCCCACTGAATGCTTTCCAATGTCATAGGCCAATATAGCTTCAACAAATGTGTAGGGCAACAACACACATAGGGCTTATTTCCAGTGATTTGTGCTGCTCAAACATGCCTGTACACACTTCCTTTGAGGTATTTGTGACACACAGTGATTTTCCACCACAGAGAGAGTATGATTTTAGAAAGAGTCGTCTATACCCACTCTAGTCCACCTATATACCCAGGCTGTTCATGCTGGACAGAGGCTGAAACACCTACATATTTTACTTCTCTTTAGTGCAGCAGTAAGACAATGAAGATGCTCATATACTACTCTTTACCACCACATTGGAGCAGGCCACAAAATATCACAAATCACCTGGAAGGAACAGCCTACCAGAACAGGCTGAGTTCAGGTAGTTGGCACATGGAAGAGTAAAGAGGGAAATAAAAACAACAACAGAAAAAAATGTAAATTATGAGGATAGTGAAAGAAAAAACTTTCTATACTCAAGGCAAGTCATTTAGCATTTTACAGTGGTGTCTCAGTTACTAGGCACAACTGATCCATGTAAAATTAGTTGCAAATGAAAGGCAGAAACTCAGAAGTGAGATGACAGCCTTATCAGGAGGCTCTCTGCCAGTCCCATTTCTACAACAGGTCTGCACAGATGACACTGAGGTAGATGGTGTGCAACATTCTCACACAGAAAAACACTCCTGGAAGGAAAGTTCCAGGAGAAGAACAGACTACTGCATATATCAATTACCCAGTGTCTGTAAAACCTTGAATAGATTATCAATATGAAAAAAGTGACCCTGAGGTCAGCCACTATTCTGTCTGTCCTACTCCATATGTTTTACAAATGTGATCATGTTCTGGCTCCAGCCTGAATATGCTGCCAAAACCCTCCTAACCTTCCAAGAACGCAGTTCCAGAGAGATGGCACTTTCAGGCATAGCAAATATGCCTGACTACAGCACTGGAAGCAATCCTGATTTCCCATGGAATCTGTGTAATGGGACTGACCTTACAGATTTAGGGAGCAGTGGGGTTTGTATCCAAGCCCATATTACACTCAGTTTTTAATCTCTAGGTAGCTTTCATCTTACTTACACAAGCAGTAGGCAGAAATCTACCAAAATGCTTAAATTCTCAGGTAGCCATAGCACACTGCAAGCTCTTGTCTGATAAATCTGTTAATCAAAGTTTTCTGTTCAGTATATATCACAGAGTTAAGTAAACTGAAAATGGAATTGTTCAAAGAAAAGCTGATGGCTCCATTCTATCCAGCTGGAAGATTTTTAACTCTTTTGACCCCACTGTGAAAGTGGGGGTTTAGATATCTGAAGACCAGCTTCCTTATCTATAGGAAACAACATACTGTCCAGTACAGTGATACAGTAAAACACTCAACACTGCCATCAAAGTTAAGCTATTACTGATTAACAGCTTGGGGGTGAGAGGAATTTCAGAAACGCATTTAAGTGTGTTAGCAATTCAGTTCACCAGTTCTCTTGGATCTTTCAGAAACTTGACGCTTCTAGAGATGTCCAAATGGGGCATCGAGTCGAGTCGAGAGGTCAACATAACACTGGAAGCTTGCACGCTTCCTGTGTTTCACTGAACAGAGTAAGCCACAGATCGTCTCCCTTGTAGTTGTAGAGAAGATTCACTAGATGGAGCCGCACCGTCACAAATCTGATTTATGGCCGCTGCAAGAGTTGCTGCCTCCTGCCGCTGTTTGACCTAAAACTGACTCGCTGCAGCACATGCTGATAACTCATCTTCTCAAAGACTGGGATGAAATGCTGTCATTTACAAACGTAAAATGTACACAGAGAAAGTGACAAGATACTGAATGAAAAAAAGCCACCATGAAAGCAACAACACTTACAGCTTTCAAAATCAAATAAATTTTAGAAGTGAACTCAAAGTTTTTTTGTCTGCCAAGACAGATCATACGTCTTTGTTCTGCAAATCAGAAATCACAGCAGACTCCCTTTAGTGAGTGGCATGATCAGTTGCTGCAAAAGAAATACAAGAGCTCTGGGGGCAAGTCTTTGTAAATAAACTCTAATACACTAAAAATGCAGTGATAGGCAAACACATTTCCCATAAATACCCTGGCGATATACTTAATCCCACACTTAAGATGTACTTAAAAAAGAATCTTTTTCTTCTAACTGCACTGACATTTGTGTCATTTTGTATAGGGAAATAGTTTAAATGTTTTCATCCAAATCTACCAACACACAATTCATCTGGCTTTCTGGAGATACACTATGTGCCAAAAGGGAATTTTTACCTGCTTTCATCCTACATCTGTGGAGGCCAAGTTGCAACCCAATCCATTCCTATGTATTTCTGCTCTGTGTGCAATGGCACTAATTTCATCTCCCATGGAATGTTAAAATTATAGATCTCCATATTTTGCTTGTGTTTTCCAAAGCCCAGATCTTACCAATACCTCACAAAATGAAAACCAAATCCCCAGCACACCTCTGAAAGGCACAGAAGCACAAAACAGTCGGGTTTAGGCTGACATTAAAAAACTTACACAATCACTGTTGATTTATAAACCAACTCCCTCCAGCAACAGATCCAGCCAGAAAGGAGATCCCTCAACAACGCTGTTAAGCTGTGGGCAAGGGTACTGCTCCACCTCACCTGGAAGGTACTGCAGAAGGGGGCTGAAACAGCATTAGAGGAAACCAGACCTCACTCCCCTTCTCTTGGAGAACTTTCCTTGACCCCTTTCATCTAGAAACTCACACAAATTTCAAAAATGGTACATGCTTTTTGACCAGTAATTGCTCACACCTCAGCTGCAAAAAAGCGTGTTCTAGAGGAAGGAGAGAGCTCACTTCCTGGGCTGGCTGGAGTACCAAGCCTCTTACGAGCGTAGCTCTGTGGAAAGCTCCTCCATCAGAGCCCATTACGAGCTCACACGACACTTGGGTGTGTTTTAAAACGAAGACTGCCGTAAAGGTGTACCAGAACCAGCCTCTGAGGAGGTGTTTGCACAAATCGCAGGTGCTTTGTCACACCACAACCGAGTATGTCACCGAGAGGAAGGTGACATACCTCCTCCCGCAGGTGACCCAGCATCGGGCACGCCGGGGCGCGGGGACCGTCAGAGTCACCGAGACGAGCCCTGCGGCCGCGGGGCCACCACCCAGGGCCAGCGCGGCCCCTCCCTCCCGGGGCGGGCGGAGAGACCCGACCCGCCCCGCCCCGGGTGTAACCGGGCCGCACCGCTGCCTCTTGCCGCTCGCTCTCTCCCCACGCCAAAATGCCGCTTATCAGCGTCCCCAAAGAAGTGGCCGTCGGGACGGCGATGCTGGGGGTCGCCTTTGCCACGGGTGTGCTCGCAGGTAAGCGGCGCCTCCCAAGCCCTGCTATATTCACAGAGACGTGAAGGCTGCGCCTTCCCGGTGTCCCCACCGGGGACGGGAAGCGCCCGGGCAGGTCCCTCCCAGGGCGGGCAGGAGTCCTCGCCGCGGTGCAGCCCGGCGGCTGTCCCGGGAGCAGACCCCTTGGGATTTATTTTGCTGAGCTGCGGCAGTAAATACACCGATGTTCTTGGAGCCCAAGCCGCTCCCTGTAATCCAGCTGCCGCAGTGTGGGGCCAGGCCAAGGTCCGAGCGAAGGCGAGGACATCTCCCCGCCCGGTCCCCTGCCTGCGTTTGTTTGCTCAGGCCGGGGTGCGGTCCTTGCGCTCAGCATTGTTTTCTGGTAGCAGTTTCGCTTTCACTGCCCCGGGGCAGCGGAAGAACGAGCCCACGGTCCAGGAGGGGAAGTGGACTGGTGTTGGGTTTGTAACGCGGGAACTTGGTTACTTACACTTTGGCTTAAGGCAAGTTGTTGAAATAATCTACATCTCGCCGTGATCGTCTGTAAAATAGAACCATTAACAGAAGATAAACCCCTCGAAATAAAAGTGTTCTGTAGATGTGGAAATGAGTTTGTTGTGGTCTCTTCAAAATAGTTGGTCCATCTGGTAAAAGAAACGTTGGACAGGAAAGCTGCAGTCAGTACTGTATTTGAGTAGACATGTACAAATCCTTAAACTTTCAGCACCTACTTTGTCTGCATGCTGGTTTCATGCTAAACAAGCCATTGAGCAATACTACATTTTCCCTGGCTGGAAGGCAGGACAGTGTCATGAGGAGAGCACAGGGTTTGAGAAGACACATCAGCTGATGGGCCTAAAACCTGGCAGGCTCTATTCATCTGCCAAATAAGGACTGAGAAAACTGTGTGCCTCGTTCATGTTTCTCTCTTTGAATTTTAAGTTTTGATGGGGTTACTGCTCCTGTAAAATTATGGCAGTTTATAACCACCACATTGGCCCCTGAACAACACAGTGCTGAAGCCTTTCTGTTTCAGCCTTTAGAGGTCTGGGCTGGACATCTTAGAGGCTAAAAAGGAGAAATAAATAAATTATAGTCCACCTGGTTGTCCAGCTATGTTGTGTTTTCCATTTTCATGGCTCTTTTAGAGTGAAGAACTTCTTAACCTTTAGTAATGCTTCAATGCTTACTTTATTTAGAATAGCAATACCTGAAAAGTATAAAAGTTATTATTATTACTTACTTTTTTGTAGGTAAAAGATACCCTTCTTTCATTTTTGGGACCCCGAGTGGTATGATTAGGAAAAACAGTCCTCTCCAGCAATACATACTGGATCACTCATTGCGGGAACATCCAATTCTAAAGAAGCTGCGTCTGGTCAGTATCGCCCACACCTCATCCTGACCTGCTGGGATCCTGGTCATATTTCCATCCTCCGTCATATTTGCATACCCCCTAGAGGTTTTTTTTTAACTGGTGATACCCAGACCATTCAATGTTCAGGGCTACCTATCTACACGACTATTTAATAGTATTGCCATACATTTTAGACATGTTTTTCTATCCTTGGCTCCCAAGGCCATGTGTTAGGGTTGCACTTGGTTTGGATTTGAACAGACGACTTCTGTTCACTTTGGTTGGCATATAAGGAACCTGTAGCTCAGAGACGTGATGTCCTCCATCAGGCTCCAGTGTCAGAGATGAGACCAGACATCCTGACGCAGGTTTGAGGTGAGACAAACTGTTCTTACATAAAAGAAATTAAATGTTAATTGCTGGAACAGGTTGCTTGGAATGATCCCTAGTAGAAGAAGGGAAATAGGAGGACATACTTTCCTGTCAGCTGTCATGGCACAGCCCTGCTTTTCTCGTTGCCCATTCTTCAGTGCCAAGAGCCTTTCCACCCTGGGATGGGTAGGATGGGCACAGCTTCTCCAAGGTTTGCACTGTGTAGCCAGGACTACGTGGTCTGAACTTTGGCAGACATGAACCTAGCAGTTCATGAAAGCATTTTACACATCTTGAAGGAAGTGCATCTATTTGTGTAAATTCACAGAAATAAAGGACTTTCATAGTCAAAGTTCCTCTGTGATTCTTTGTTAGTTACAAATATTGCTCAGTTTGCCACAGCCATGGTAACTTTGGAGCATATTACTGCTTTCAATATCCACTGCTTGTGACACACATAACATCTTCCTTATAGTTAAATTCAAAACAATTTCTGGCTCATAGATGGAACACAAAGCCATCTAAAATGAGGAGACAGGGGTATCTGCTTATCCTGGAGTTTCAGTAGGATTTTTTTCTTTAGGATATTGGTTTGGTAGATTTGGTTTTTGTTTGATGCAATGTGTTATATTTTTTCCCTTTTCTAGCTCACTGCTGATCATCCCTGGGGCAGAATGATGGTGTCCTGTGAGCAGGCTCAGCTTATGGCAAATTTGGTCAAACTCATTAAAGCCAAGAAAGTTATTGAAATAGGTAAGAGTGTCACTTTGTAGTAAAAAACTCTTGCCTATCATTCTCCAAATATAGCTGCATTTAACGTGAAATATCCAAATACAGGAAGGCACCGCATATGTCAGCAAACAGGTGGGCAAACTACAGCATGAAAAGGAGTGTCTGATTTGCACTTGGTTGCCTCTTTGTCTAACTGTGCATTCAGTGGTTCTGGCATCAGCATGGATGGTTCATCAATTCTGAAGCAATCTGAAAAACTGAGCTAAAGAGATCTCTTGAGTCTCCAGCAGTTGCAGGACAGGGTGTATTCTGTCCTTCCTGTATCAATTTCTTGCTAGAAGAAGATATTTTTCTGCACAGGCCCTGTATCAAATCCACTTTGCTTGATGCACCTATATTAGCAGGATGTCCTAAAAGACAGACTGATGCTGAGCAGCCAGGTATGGGTTCCCACCATCTTTATTCTTGGCCTGGCTGTTACAATTCCCTGGTATTTTGCTGCTCACTTGGGTTACACATGAAAGACCAGACTCTGCCTTGTCTGTCCATGAGCCTTTTGGAAAAAGCTAACATTGAAGTTTGCTAAAAGATTGATTTTAAAAAAAGAAAAAATACATTAAAATGGAAGGAAAAATGAAAAATCTTTATTGTCTCTTAACAAATTGCCATTCTTGATTCCTTTGGGGATTTTATTCCTGAAGAGAGCCCTGTAGTCCTTTTTTCACGATGCAGTAAGTGTTAATGTCTCTTGTGATTTTCCTAGGTGTTTTCACAGGTTATAATGCCTTGAATATGGCACTTGTCCTGCCAGATAATGGCCGAGTTATTGCCTGTGATATAAATGAGGACTATGCCAAAATTGGAAGGCCACTGTGGAAGGAGGTAAGCAGCATCTCCTATACACAATGGGGGCAGCTGCCCTTACATGTGAAGAGATTTAGGTATTTTAGACTTGCACATTCACATAGAAGTATTCTTACCATTAAAGAAGGCTGATAGAGTTCAGTTTGGGAAGAAAAAAGTGGTGTTTGGAACCTAGAAATAACAGAAAAACTGTCTGAACCCCAGTCACTCCCTGGGTACAGCCACTACTACTAACAGGTTATTTCTTGACCACTTTTATCAACACTCTCTTCTTTTCCATCTTAGGCAGGAGTAGAGCATAAAATTGACCTGCGGATTAAGCCAGCAATTCAAACACTTGGTAAGTAACCTGAAATAACCAATTGCTTCTCCTTCCCTAGACATAGAAGAAGGATACAACAGTGATGAAATTTAAGACCAAATATGGTTGTGAATGTGATTTTGCTAACAGGGAGGCAGCTTCTCTTATATTAATTAAAAAGTAAAAATCTTAAGGCACTCACAGTTCTCCTACCTACTAGCAGAGAGAGAGAAAATGCTTGTCCCATGTAGTGGGCAGTACTGCTCACTCACCTGTCCTGTCCATCACTTTAATCTATCAAGTACTATTGCTTCTGGGAAAGATGATTAAAACAGATTAGTTAGACAAAGCCAAATTTCTCCTATCCGTTGTCCATTCTAAGCAAGTATTCCTTTGTTAAGAGAGAAAGGGTTCCCTGAAAGGGCTGAGGTGCAGAAAAAATTCAGAAGCCAATATATAATTTAGGCTGAATCATGTTCAGAGAAGTTCAATTTCAGGATGTGCCAAAAGTGTGCAAGGCCATTAGTGAGGCAATGACTTGTCTCATTCAAGGAAAATGTGGAGCAGAAATGCTAAAGTGTAAGTGTTCTGAAAATGCAAGAAATTTTCTGGAATTGTTGGATGCAGGAGGTTTCCAGCAGAGGTGTTTGATGGATCCACAGATCCATTGATAACCTTGTATTACTTTCAAATCCATCCTTTCTGAAGAGACAGGTATAAGCAGTTTGCTGATATACACACTCCTTGAAGGCTGTCTAACTGCTTTGTCCAGGCATTGCTTTAGACAAAAAGATCTTCTGCTGACAGAGGCTAAGGGCCAGTTACAGGAGTGGCAGAGGACCTTAGGAGACAGCAATTACCTTCTCTTCAACTGGCAATTTGGAATTCTCAGTCAGGAAGCCTGTCTAGGAGAACTTAAAACTGAATTCTACTTGTCTTGGCCCAGAGAGGGACTACTTACAGAAATTTCTTGCTATAAATATCTCTGACAGGGTTTGTTCATGACCTGTGTCATGGCACTTGATCTGCAAGGAGAGATTAGCATTTAGAATCTGTTCATAAAGAGAAAAATTCTAATCCACTCAAGAAAACAGTTCTCAGCTCAAAAAAAGCTGAAGGTGTAGAGTATGTCCAGTTTCAAAGTGCTTGACTTGTTTTTACTGTACCTTTCAGCAGTCCCAGCTATATCCTTCAGGTTTGGAGCTACTCCACAAACTCCTAAGCATGCAGAACTCAGTAACTGTGTGTTTTATGGCATACTTAATGTCTAGATTAGTTTCTGTGGGATAAGCTTTTCTAGTAATTACCTGTGGAGGAATAGGCTGCCTGGTCAAGGCAGCAGAAAACATTTAATGAGAACTTTGACACAAATGGATTACTTCCTCCTACACAGCACTAACCAGGGTATAACAACTCACTTTGTTGCTCATCCAGATGAACTGTTGGCCAATGGAGAAGCGGAAACCTTTGACTTTGCTTTCATTGATGCCGATAAAGAAAACTACAATGAGTACTATGAAAAATGCTTGCGCCTTATAAAGAAAGGGGGAATAATAGCTATTGATAATGTAAGTACTGCAGTTCTGGTGGCTATGCACAGGCAGTTACTGCATCTAGCTGTGGGGAAAAAAAAAAGTCACAGTGGAAATCTAGTAATGTGATTTCTGACCTGCAGTTAGGTTGCTAATTGTGACACGTTTGTTCCACGTCACACAAAGAAAATTCAATGTAAACTCTTAAAGTAAGCTATATAAAGCACTAATAGAAAACAAAGAATTTTTTTTCTTATTTGTTACAGAGAATGCTCTGTATTATTCTGGTTTGTCTTGTAGTGCATGTAAACTATGTACAGTACTTACATAAGATCAAAAGTAGCACTTGTAATCAGTAACTATTAATAAGTTATCAATTAATTACTTTTACAAGAAATAAAGGACATTAAACTTCAGGCACCTTCAGGGTTATGGTGACAGCCGAATAGGTGCTCTTAAAAAAACTATATTTAAAGACATAGTTTTTTATTTTGGTTTCAAATCTACAGTAGAAGTACAATTAGCAAGTTCTGTGGCTTCTCAATTCCACTTACTTATGGGAGTTCCATGTCAGAGACCATTAGACATCTGAAATACAACAAATAATATCAATCTCTAAAAAATATAAAATAACTTTTCCAAAGCCTTCTTAGTGGTCCAAGGACCATATTGGAACAAAGGAGGTGTATTATATTTCTTTTTTCAATAGGTCTTTTGGAATGGAAAGGTGCTAAAACCAAGGAAGGATGACTTGGCAGCGCAGAGTATCCACCACCTCAATGAGAAGCTTCTCAGAGATGCACGTGTCAATATCAGCATGCTCCCAGTGGGGGATGGAGTCACATTAGCATTCAAATTGTAACTCAAGGAAGACCAGCAGATGGGAAATAGCAAGCAGCATCAAATCATCAGGAAAAATGTAGGTGGAACAGCATCAAAAATTTCATTTAACCTATATCTCCGCTGGATAGCATAGCCTGGGAAAGTAAACTTTAGCAACAGCAGGATCCTAAAGGCAGCTAAGCAGAGAAGAGAGATTTATTGAGATCTACTATGGTTTCTTACTTTAATTGTAATAAAGAAAATAAACTTACATTAAATTGTCCTTGTAAGACAGTGGTTGAAAAAATCCCCCTCTATAGATTGTCTAAATGACTCAATACAACGAAGTAATTTTCTGTCCTAGAAGAACCTCTTGAGTAGTGGAATAATCAGTCAGCACCATCAAAAGGAAAAGAAGTGCAGTTTACTAGTGTTTATGGCCATAAGAGAAAAATGGATTTTTAATGAAATGACATCAGGGAGATTGCTAGCCTTCTCAGACTAAAAATATTGTAAGTCATTCCTTATCTTTAAAGGTTACTACAGAACAAGCCTCAAAAAGGCATCATGTGAAAAAAACGTTCTTTTTAAAAGCTTACTAAAGGACAAACAGTATTTGCAAATACAGTAACTGTATTCTCTAAAACTTTTGTGCACAAGGACTGGATTTCTTTAACCTAGGTAACAATCCAGGTAGATTTCTTTTTTTTTTTTTAAAGTCAGAATGAGGAAAAGTAAATGGGCAAGAAGTAAACCAAAACAATTCTCCCTCTTTCCTGTGTCCCTCCCCTTACTCCCTCAAAGAAGCAACTTGCTAGTTGCTTGTTTCCTAGAAAGTTGCAAGCACAGAGTATTGGTGCCAAGCCTATAGAAGGATTATGATTGTATGAGGATGCAATACAGCTGTTAACTGGCTGTTCAAATTATTATTGCAAGCAGAGATTCCCTTCCCTAGGCAGCAGAGAGCAAAATTTCAGGCTGCAATTCTTTATTACAGATAAAAATTGATTAAGTAAGAAACTGAAAGTAGGTTTTGTTGATGACCTGAAGGAAAGCTGTTATCAGAGCTAAGAGAATCCTTTGTCCATTTGCTTAAACAATGCACTTGAATGACTCGAGCCACTGGGGGACAAAGGTTTCAAGTCTCAGAATGTTTAAAACTGTCTGCTTGGCTTGTACTTTTGAAATTTCAGCTGGGTGGCTTGGGTTCTGGTAAGGGGCAGAAGTTCAGAGCAGAAGTTCAGGCTCTTTCCTGTCACAGACACTGACACAGACACTGCAGTGTAGAGAAATGAAGAAAGGAAGCACTGCCTGATGGCTTCAGAGTAGGGTTATGACTGAGGAGATCTCAATTCTATTTCTGTCACTTCCACTTAAAACACTGATTCAGCAAAGCATATCAAGATGTGCTTAAGTACTTTGCTGAATTGAGGACTGACTGCTAAATCCAAGTCTGGGAGAAGGCCAGGACAAGATGTGTGTTGCCCTTAAATGAGAATTTACATAGGGCATAAAGTTTGCTTAATTTTTCTGAGTACAGATTTACCCTCGGAGCTTCAAACCTCTGCACTCCTCAAATTTCTTCTCTGCATAAAAGAAATAACACCTTATTAAATTCTTAGTGACTATAACAGCTTTCAGATGGAGTGGCTAAGGGAGTGTACAGGATTATTACGCATTTGCATGCAGAGCTTCTGGCCGTGTTCTACTTTACAATTTTACTTTGTCGGTAGATACCAAAAGAATCCTAAGGGTTAAAAACATTAAATGGGACACTTTAACAGCAGGGGCATCTTCTCAAATATTCCTGCTTTCAGAGGCTAGAGGCTGATAAACATGAGCAAGACAGCAGCTGTTAAGAATACTTACCCTGCCCTAAAAGTACCATGATGGCCTTTGCCAAACATAGAGAAGCCATTGGAAAATTAACCACAGACTCTGCAACTGTTTTACAATTTTCCAAGTTGCAAGAATCCTATCAATGAAGGTGAGCCAAAAATGGGCAAGCATCATGAGTATTTTTGCAAGAAACTGTCAAGTAAGAGTTTAGCAACATTTAAAACCAGATGCAAGCGCTCATAGTTGATGAAATCAAAACCAACAATTCTTTCTGTAGTGGGTACTGGCAAAGTCCCCATTACTTATGCTAGAGGAAAATCTATCAAGTGCCTGAGGCTGAAGCCATGTGCAGCCCCTAGCTAGCATTTTGCCGTTGCTTTGGACTCTGTTCCATTTTAAATATGCAGATCATAATGTGAGTATTTCATCAAACCTGTCTCCATCCTGATCACCTAATTACCATTAGAAAGAATAGCAATGTGTCCCTAAACTATAGATTGATGAGCCATCTGTAAGTGGAAACAAAGAGCAGAAGGAAGCTTAATTGAATCAAATATTTAGAATGCATTACTCTATCTTGTAGTTACTCAGAAACTGGCCTTCTCTTCAGGCTTCTGTCCTGCACATCTGGAATTTATCACCACTAACTGCATTTAATCCTTCAACCTTACCATGAAGTGACTGCTGATAATATATAATTATGGTTTAATTCAAGTGGTGAATCAGCGATGGGGAATTTGTGGGGGCAATGGGAATTCAGACTTCCATTAGCTGATGAGAATGGACCACCCAATATCACAATGCAAGCCTTTGTCTCTTTCTAATGGAGATGCCATGTCTGGAAGCTTGTGGGTCTGCTGTGTCTGCTCACCTCTCTCAGGTAATACACCTGCCTGAGCTACTGCTCACACTATAGAGGCTCAGGATTTTCTGCCAATGGAGAGGAGCTGATCCAGGGGCACAGCTGTTGCCCAAACCTTCACAGCCAGCTGTCCCTGCAACACTGACATTTCTTCTGCTTGCAGGGGGGGACCACAGAGGGGCCAACACAGGTGACAAATGTACAGCTGGGACTTGCTCAGAAGCAAATGGGGCTGAAGGATGGGTCATGAAACAAAAAACAATAACAACAACAACAAAATAATTCCCCCTAATGTGGTAACTTCCAGAAGCCACCATGAGAATAAAAGCATGTAATTCTGACTGCTGGTTAGGTATCTGAGTCTCTGCTCCAAAGATATCACATTCAAAATGTGGTATGTATGGTATGATATTTACATGGGTGACAGGGAAGGGAACAGAAGACTTTTAAAGAGTAAACTTTGCATCTCTACTAGCTAATTAAATGATCAGGACTGAGACTGGATGCTGAGAAATCTAGAGAGAAGGCTGCCCCCAAAAAAACAGCTTATTGTCCAAGGATAGACACAGGGCTCAAGGCTCAGTTCTGCATTTTCAATGCTGCAGCTTTTAATCCCACTGGAAGACTGGGGGGGTGGGGTGAAGCAGGGAGTATCCTCAGTCTCTCATGCTACTAAAGAAAGTAATGGCCTCAGGAAAAACTGGGCTACTGAGTGTTACATGACTTACAGGCATTTGTTGAACCTCTGACACTGCTGTCACTCTTTCTTTTAACAAACTCAAGTGTTTTTAATATATTTTAATTCAGTCACCTTGCACACAGACAGCACTTTCTGTGAATTGCTACTCATGGAAGACAACTGGCAAACTTGTGACAAAGCCCTTAGGATACAGGGAAAGGAACATGAATATAAACTTCATCTCAACCCTTCCTTTGAGGCATGAGCAGTTCTCAGAAAACTTGCAGCTCAGATCTGAGGGATATGCCATATCTCAAGCACTTCAGTCTTGATACTGGAGTGGTAACAGCAGCAAGTGCCATAACTGGCTCATTTTTGATGATGTAGTAGCATGCAGTTGGCTGCATCCCTGGTTATGTTCTGTTTACCACTTGAAGAAACCAATCCTAAGTGGTCACAATGGGAGTAAAAAAGCTAAGAGATCAGTACTGTTTAAAGAGATTTTTCTCCTTGTGTGCTGGGTTGGGCTGAAGGAGAGTTAATTCTTTTCACAGCAGCTAGTACAGGGCTATGTTTTGGGTTTGTGCTGGAAACACTGTAGATGTTCCCCTCACTCCACCGCACCAAGGAACAGGCTGGGGATGCATGAAAAATTGGGAGGAGGGAGAGCCATCTGACCTAGACTGACCAAAGGGATATGACATGGCATCATGCTCAGCATATAAAATGGGAGGAAGGAGGAAAGGGAGACATTCAGAGTGATGGTGTTTGTCTTCCCAAGTTATATATGATGGAGCCCTGCTTTCCTGGGGATGACTTTCCTGCCTGCAGATGGGAAGTGATAAATGAATTCCTTGTTTTTACAACTTCTGCTTTGTTTATTAAACTATCTTTATCTCAGCTTACAAGTTTTCTCATTTTTGTTTTTCTCTCTCCCATTGCACCAGAGGTAGTGAGGGAGCAGCTGTGTGGGGCTTAGTTGCTAGTTGGGGTTAAACCACAACAACCTACTAAGTGAGATTAATGCAGTTCGGTTTTATCCGTCCCATCCACTGAAAGTGCACAGGTCTCCTCCCTCATGGCACCACCTTGAGGAAGGTGACCATGCTGAGTGGCTCCATCCCTTCTGTCAAAGAACAACCAGACCAGCACAAATAACCTAAAGCATCCCCCACACAAAAGATCTGGGCCCATCTCTGAGTGGTTTGCAGCACATTTTATTTTATTGCTCATTCCATTTTAATGGGAGAGGCAGCACTATCATGGCCTTCCCAGAATGAAAAAGTGGAAATCACAAATACAAAAGAGGGGTCTTTTGGGAAGGGATTGCTGATGATGTCCCAAACAAGTACCAAGCAAGAGAATGACAAAGCTGTTTTTTCCATCTGTGCAAACCTAAGAGTGGCAAATGAGCATTTCTTACCACAGTGAGCACTGAAGTTTCTTGAGAGAAGCTTAAAGAAACTTCTGTTTCCTAACTCATCAGTTGCTCTGCTCTCAGGTCTGCCAAGCCTTTTTCCAGGGCTGTGGCATTTCTCTGCTGCTGCATATTGTACCAATGATTTGCACTAGATGAAAAGGTTCTCCAAGAGTATAAAGCATTACCTCTGCATAATTCTAATCACACAAAATTGGTCTCATGCATTTGCAGCTACTCATGGTTTCTAAGTCACCTGTTTTATAATAATTTTTAAAGCAATGTTTTGAAAAAGGAAATGAACAAACATAAAACCTGCAAAAGAGGGAAATTAATGTGGGATTTCAGACAAGTTATTTATCTTCCTTTTTGGCTCAGTGCAATACTGTAGGGATAAGCACATAACTAGCTGCTTTAATATTTACTCCTATTATAAGAAAAATAAACATTGCTGATAAGTCACTGCTTTCCAGGATTAGATTTCATATTTTAGAGACTACTTTAAATTAATGCAGAAGCAAACATTATCTTTTCTTCTTATTCATATATTTCCCTAATGAGTTCCAAGCAAATTGTGCCTACTTATATTTTATGATTTTAAATAATTAAAACATTTTATGGAGGCAACTAAAATTCTCCCCAGAGTTAGCAGAAAGATTATTGATTGAACAGATCTCAGGCTACAAGGAAAAAATTATTATTTAGTTTAAAGGCTCATAATTTTATTCCTATTCACCTACTAAAAAACCAAGAGACTGTGCATTTTTCCAGCAGCCTTTTGAGTTATGCTGGGGTAGGGACTTGGGTTATGTTGCTGAGATGAAAGTAGTAACTTTTTGACATTATGAAATTAGATTTCAGAAGATAGTTAATGAGAAATTGTTATTGCTGCTGTCACAAGTAAATGCAATACCTAAATACTGCACACCCACACAACGCCGCAGCATTCATTACCCAAGATAATGCCTTACTGTACAACATCAAGAATTTTAACTAAATCCACAAATACGAAACATCGACAGAAGAAATCCACTCTTGGAGAGGACTGGTTCACAGAATACCCAGGCTGTCATTCATGTGGTGTGGCCAGAGAAGTCCATAAGGTTATGGCCCAGATGTCACCGTCCTGTACCACAACACCCAGCAACAGAAAAGGGGATTCTTCCATCATGAAAAGAAAAACAAACAAGCCATATCAATGAAAAAAGAACCAAATCAAAAAGAGACAAATGAATTTTAAAACAGGTGCAAAGAAACCTTCACAAGAAGGGAAATGAATGTCTGCAAATTCAAATAGAAGTAACAGCTGCAGGTAAAAGGCTTATTTGTAAGGAACCTCATGCTTGTCTGTGATGTCACCTTGTATCTTTTGTTGTATGGGGTTTTAGGAAGCAAACATTAGTAGTTTACATTTAAAGGTCAGAAAAGTATGTAACTCCTTGGACTAGTAAAAACCCAAAAACAAATAAACAAAAAGCAGCAACCAACCAGAAAAGACCCAAAACACCTACAGTACTTAGCTCAAGAATGCTGATTTGGAGCATTATTTTTACCCTGCATTGCATGTCCAACCCTTTTGCTTGCAACAGTGAAATTCACACAGACTGTGGCTCACAACTCGGAGTTTACTTCATAAAGGTAGGTGTTTTTCCATCTGCCTACCAGAAGTCAGTGCTGCTGGTATCTGCTACAAATCAAAACCTGGAAAGCCAAGAAGCAAGAGCAGCTGCAACGAGCAGAACTGGAAAGCTTTGGCAGACAACAGTGGACACCTTTGGATTCAAGCAGAGCTGTAAAGACTACATGGGGTCAGGGAGGGAGTGGGCAATGAGATCTCCCTGCTGCTCTCTGTGGAGGTCTGGCAATGTTCAGCTCCACAGAGGTGAGAAAGGGTCCCTCAGGTGCCTTCACCAGCTTCCACTCAGCTACCAGTGTCTCCTCAGCTTCCTGGGCACATCAGCAAGAGTTTTGGCATGTCATTTCCAGTGTCACCTTCAACATCCTACAGCCATCTAAATGTCAGCTGCATAAAATGCTTTCCCGAGACACTTTATCTTTTCTATTTAGTGTAATTAGTGGGGTCATTCCAAAGCAGAAAGCCACAGTTAACTGTGCAACTACTGTGCCATCATGTATTGTAACAAAGAGCTTAACACAACCTGAAAGAAAAAGAAGAGCCCTCCTTGTTTTCCTTTAAGCAGCAGAGCTAGATCATGTTCCCGTAAGCCTCAAAGACAACCCCAGTGAAGACGAGCATTAATTCACTATCAAAGTACAATTACAAACCAACACAAACCAGGTCAAACTCCAGACAAAAGATTCCTGTACAAAAATCTGGAGTTTCTCCACAGATTTTAGAGCTAGCTTCTATACCACCACCTCTGGGTCTTCTCACAGCTGTTGTGGATTTTAGGCACAGTCATTTCTTGGGAGCTATTCCCACCAACAGTCCCTCTGCTCAGGTCAGAAGGATCATCAAGACCTCGTAAGGTGCCCTGCAGAGCATCTGTGCCACAGTACCAAAGCTGAGCTCCCCTGGTCCCTGTCAAGGACTGCTGCATGGGATTGGACCTATCCTCACAGTTCTGAGACTGATCCAAGACACCACTGAAGACTAACTCGAAGGAGGCAAAAGCACAGACATAATTAACAAACACCCAGAGACACAGCATTTAAATTCCTTCCGTCATTACAGAAGATGTCTCAGGCACCATCAAGCCCATCTCACTCCCCTCTCTCATGCAGCTTTGGTAACTTTGATGTCTGCTACCAAGTTTTCCTTTCTTGATTTTCAGTGTTGTCACTCACTATATATTGAGTCATCCTTTAGCTCAAGCTTAAGTTCAAGTGTGTATTTAAACTTCCAGACATGGACTATGATAAACTCTTAATGAACGCTTTAGATGTGTAGATAGAGTCTGTCTGCCTGTTGACCTTGGGAACCATTTATGGTCATCTCTACAAACTACTCTAAAGCTACGTAATTAAGCCTGCAAAGCTAAGCATTGACAGTGTTGCAAAAGACTAATCAAACTTGCACAAGCAATCAATTTTGACAGCCCCTATTACATGTAAACATTATAATATAGATTTTAATTTTGTGATCAAACATTTATGCATTCAACATTTGATGTGGTCCTTCCTGACCTTATTGGGTTTCATATTACTTTTTTTGCTTCAGACTAATAATCTGAGAACCTACAAGCAGGAAAATAGCTGGCTTTCGGCAGTCTGTGCCAGAGGAAGATTCCTAGATCTCAGAAGGGCCAAGCAGCTTTGTGATGTGGTCACAATTCTCGAGCAAAAAGAAGTAGACAAAATCAGGGAATCACCAGCAGAAGTTACAACTGCCTATTCTGTGTTTAATTATCTTAACTTTCTGCTTTGGGTTTATCTTATTTCATAAAAGAAAATTGGACTGTGACAGCTACAGCAACACCAAGTCAATTCAGCTAACTCCCTGTACTTTTTCTCCAAGGGATTTAAGGCTGTGAGTCAAAGGAAAGAAAAACAGAGGAGAAGTAACAACAGGTTTTCCACAGTTATCCTGTAAAGGGAAGTTTAAATTAAAGTTAGAGCCTTTCTTCTTGTAGAAAGTTCAAATTTTGAGTGCTTTTCTGCTCCTCATCTGTTCTCATGCTTGGTGCTATGCAGGCCGAGTTCTTCATGCCTGTAACCCTGCTCTCAGGTACCCACCATCTGCTGTGCAGGCAGCTCAGCTCATGGGCCAAGGTAGGCCTGTACCCACTCCACAGCCACACTCCGCAGTGTGGCCACCAAGTGCCCTAGCCCCACCAGACCAGGCACACGTCACATACCATGTTTTGAATTCAGGAAATCCCAGACAGAAATGTGATTTCAGCAATCTCATTTAATGAACAAGAAACATAATCAGTTTAACACAAAAGGTTTGTAAGGCAGTGGGTACATGCTTTCTACGAGCCCTGCTCTCTCTGCTCACCAGTGATTTATGCCTTGCCAAACCCAGAGAGGAGCCAAGGACAACCACCTCGCATGCACTCCTCTGGCATTGGGGCGTGCCATGAGTGAGGAGGAGCTGTGTCCAGGAGAAGCTGCTACTAATGCCTGTGCTGGGACTCCATGTACATCTCTGCTACACTTCCCACACAGAAAAGGAAATGTTAGGAGTCAGGACTCCGAGACAGATTGTTTTGAAAAAGACAAGGTGTTTTAGTTAGGTTGTGCTCTTGGCAGAGAGGCTATCAAAACTGCTACATCAGTGCTCACTCACGAACTCACCTTATCATGAGCATGATAAAGCTAAACCAGGGGAGTTTCAGACTATTTAAGTT